GCCAGGAGGTCTGTCCATTCAAGTCCTGAGGACCCAAAATGTCATTTCTTAAACACAGGTGTTGTGGTGCACAGCCTAAGCTGCCTCGTGAGGCTCTCACAGCTCTATCAGAGTGCCTGAGATCAGCTTCGTGCCAATGCTCTTGGAGGTATCGGGTGCTTGCTCAAACACCTGAGTGCCTGGTACCCATGTGGGAATTCGAATGGGATTGCTCTGCTCCTGGTTCAGCCTAGCCCATCCAGCTGTTCTAGGCATCTGGGAAATGAACCAGCAGCCAGAAGATCCCTGCGTCTCTCCTTTTCGCTGCCTCCCAAAGTAAATAAATGAAGTAGAAAACTTTAAAAATACAAAAAGCAGGAATCAGCATTGCGTCACAGCTGGTTAAGCTGCCACTAGTGTCACACCCCATATCTGAATGCTATCTAAGCCCCAGCTGCTCAGCTTCCGATCCAGTTTCCTGCTAACATACCTAGGAAAACAGGATGACCGCTCAAGTGCCTGGATCCCTGCCACAAGGGAGAGCTCGAACTGGAGGCTCTGGTTTCAGTCCAGGCCATTGCAGCCAGCTGGGGAGTGTGTCTCTTGTCACACTACATTTCACATAAATAAACTATTAACTATAAAATTCCAATTCTTGTAAAAATGTCCTTATATGCTAGGAGGTTCAGTGTCGGTGTGCAGAAGCAGGAAATTTTCTTTACTAAATCCAAACTCCTCTTGTTTTATTTTTACTTAGACGCATGGCAAAAAACACATACGTCATTTCCTTATTAACAAAGTAGACCGTGGGCTAGGCCCATCCTGCCAGCTCTGTTTCCTCAGGATGTATATGTCTCTGCACGTCTCGATCCTCCTGGAACAGTGACCAGTTGCCTTTCATCTTCTCACAGTCCTGTTGGGTGATGGTGGTGGGTAGCTGACTGACTTTTTCTTTTTCCAAAGGTGGAGATAGAGTGCCCATACATTCTTTCACTTCCCAGATGCCAGGCAATGGCCAGGAACCCAATCTGGATTTCCTGTGTGGGTAGCAGAGATCCAGCTTTGAGAGCCCTAAGTATGGCTTCAAGGATTCGCTTTGATCAAGGCTGGACTTGGGATCCAGAGCCAAGGATTGAACCAGGCACCCCAGTATGAAGTGAGGATGCCTTAATTGGGCACGTTGACCAATGGGCCCAACACACACCCTGTGACTGGCATCTGAAAGCGAGAATCCACTGTACAAATGTTGATGAGGTTTTTACCAGTACATTTTGAAGTCATCTATAATATTTTTAAGCTCGTCATCAGGAACTGAACTTTGATGTTGGGATGGAAATGAATTTCGTAAGAGGTTGAATTATTTCCGTGCTTCTTAGACTCTTCTCCATAGGTCTGTACTTTATCCATCTGATCCTTTGAAAGAAAATTCTGTCATGTTTTTCTTTTCCATACACCTTCATAATGAGTGGTTACTGAGTGTGCACAATGTCCTGGGGATTGGAAACATCAGTGATCAAATTTGACTGAAAAAAGCCCTTGCCCTTAAGGAAGCTCTGGTAGCTGTAGACAGACAGTAGAAAGGAGACCTGATGAGGCCGCAGTTAGAATGCCCAGTTAGCGTCATGGTTAAGCCAATGGCTGAGATATCTGCAGCCACACTGGAGGACCTGGGTCCAATGCCTGGCTCAAGCTGCAGCTCCTGGCTTCACCTTCCTGCCAGTTGCCCCACGGAGGCAGCAGTGATGGGTCCGGCAGCCGCTTGTGAATCCCCCATGGAGCAGGTATAGGTTAAGCTCACAATTCATGCCTGCTGTCGCTTCATCTGTCAACGGCTTTTGAGAAGTCAGCCAGCACATGGACACTCTGAATACATCTCTCTCTGAAATATATATATATATATATATTTTATTTTTTTTTAAAGATTTATTTTTATTAGTTTTTTTTTTTTTATTGGAAAGGCGGATATACAGAGAGGAGAGACAGAGAGGAAGATCTTCCGTCCGATGATTCACTCCCCAAGTGAGCGCAATGGGCCAATACTATGCCGATCCGAAGCCAGGAGCCTCTTCCGGGTCTCCCACGCGGGTGCAGGGTCCCAAGGCTTTGGGCCGTCCTCCACTGCTTTCCCAGGCCACAGGCAGGGAGCTGGATGGGAAGCGGGGCTGCCGGGATAGAACCGGCGCCCATATGGGATCCCGGGCGTGCAAGGCGAGGACCTTTAACCACTTGCGCCACCGCGCCGGGCCCTGAAATATATATATTTTAAAAAATGGATTTACTTATTTTGATCTGAAAGACATATTTTACAGAGAGACACAGAGAGCTTCCATCCACTGGTTCACTCTTCAAATGCCTGCACTAACCAGAACTGAGCTGAAGCTAGGAGAGAGGAGCTTCTAGTGGATGTCCCACATGGTGCAGGGCCTGAAGACTTGGGTTGTCTTCTACTTTCCCAGGCCTTCAGTAGGGAGCTGGATCAGAAGTGGAGCAGCTTGAACTGATGTATATATGGAGTGCCAGCACCACACAAAGATGATTAACCTACTATGCCGCCATGCTGGAACCTCAAATGCATCTTAAGTAGTTAAATTATTTGACGCATTATAAAGTGTTAAATACTTTAGGGGAAAAAAAAGGTGGTAAACCTGACTGACTGTGACCCATTGGTTCTGTATCCAAGTATTCCAACAACTATGTTTTTAAAATACTTAGAAAAAAAAAAACTCTACTAATTTTTTGTCTTGTCAGCATTCTCTAAGCACAGGATAACAAATTTTTGCAAAGTACTCATAGTGTTTCAGGTGTCATAACTAAGCGAGGGTTGATTTAGAATCTGAGGAGGGCACGCAGAGGCTCTGTGCAGGCTGTATTAGCAGCAGTCTCCCACTGTGCAGCATTGGCAGTGGAGACGGCTGTCATGAAAGCAGCAGGTTAAGCTGATTCTCTTGAAGGTGAGCCTTCAGTTGGTGCAGGCATTAACTACACAGCTGTCTGGGGAGGGTGTGCTGTGGCAAGGCAGAGGCTGCGGTGTGCCTGGTTGGAAGGAAGTGAAGCAGAGGGCTGGGGAGACAGCCTGGGTCCAGTGAAATGGGGGTTCCCAGGGGTGGGCTAGAAAGGGGAAGTCATATGAGTTGTGCCTTCACAGCCTCCTTGGGCTGCATGTTGGTGTGTGTGCTGCCGTCTCAACATTGTCCCCTCCAAAAGGATTTTTTTTTTTTTTTTTTTTTTTTTTTTTTTAGATTTATTTTTAGAGTTTTAGAAAGAGAGGTCTGCCATCGGCTGTTTGATTTCTCAGGTGTCCGTAACAGCCAGGCCTGGGCTGGTCTGAAGCCAGGAGCCAGGAGCTTCTTTTGGCTCTCCCATGTGAATGTGGAGGCCCAAGGCCTTGAGCAGCCCTCTACTGCTTTCCTAGGCACATTGGTAGGGCACTGGATCAGAAGTGGAGCAGCTGGGTCTTGAACTGCCGTACATGTGGGATGCTGGTGTTAAAGGTGACAGCTTTTATACAGTGCTGATCCTGGAAACACATCTTTAAATTTAGTTGCCAATGTTAATAGTATTAAGAATTAAGCCTTCAAAAGAAAAAAATTGAGGCCTTTAAAATATATACATTTATATATTTTTAAAATTTATTTATTTTTTTGGAAAGGCGGAGATACAGAAAGATCTTCCATCTACTGGTTTACTCCCCAAATTGCCACAATGACTGGAGCTGTGCTGATCTGAAGCCAGGAGGGAGGGCTCCACCTTGTGGGTAGGTTTGGTACCCATCACAAAGAGTTCGATTGTTTGTCTACTTTTTTTTTTTTTAAGATTTATTTTTATTGGAAAGTCAGATATATACAGAGAGGAGGAGAGACAGAGAGGAAGATCTTTTGTCTGATGGTTCACTCCCCAAGTGACCGCAACGGCCAGAGCTGCGCCAATCTGAAGCCAGGAGCTCTTCTGGGTCTCCCAAGCGGGTGCAGGATCCCAAGGCTTTGGGTCGTGCTCAACTGCTTTCCCAGGCCACAAGCAGGAGCTGGATGGGAAGCGGGGCTGCCAGAATTAGAACTGGCGCCCAAATGGGATCTTGGTGTGTGCAAGACAAGGACTTTAACCACTATGCTATTGCACCAGGCCCTGTTTGCTTTTAAGAAGCAAGAAGTTATTGTAACTGTAAGCCAACATATTTGCATTCATTGGGAATTGTCCAGTTGGGGGTATTCTGTTAGAGCAGCACAGAATGGACTGAGAAGGAAGGGAGGGGAGGGGGCAGCCAAGGTGGAAGTGTGGAAGTACTGAGTAAGCTCTTGGATAGGGCAAGATGGGATGGTGCTTTAGGCTAGGGTGGCAGCAATGGAGCTGGCCAGAGAATTATTCTGGATGTATTTTGGTGAGAAGCTGACAGAACTTTTTGGCAGTCTGATGTGAAGTCTGAGAAGATTCTAAGTTCCTGCTGTGTATCCCGAGAGGCAGCAGGTGAGAGCTCACGCTGTTGGGTCTTTGCCTCTGATGCGGGGGTCCCTGATGGGGTCCCTTCCGGCTTGCTGACATGTCCTTTCCACCCAGCCATGGCTGTGGATATCTGCAGAATGACCCAGCAAATGGCAGATCTCTATATACGTGTGTCTGTGCATAAAAGGAAAGTTAATGGAAAATGGAATCAAGAGACAGGTTTATTTTGATGCAAGAAACCGTGAAATCTGTGCATAAATCGTTCATATTCCCCATGAACTTCTAGAAGTGCTCTCATACACAATCCTAGATGAAATAATATTTAAGGCATCAGAATTGATTTAAGGACATATTTATTTATAAGATAAAAATGTTTAATAGGAATTAAAGTGCTTAATTTTACAATGTTTCTAATTCTTTGCCTTATGACCAAATATACATATGTTACACAATATATACACTATCTGCAAGTATTTTACATTCATACAGCTAGAAAAGAAAAATTACTAGTCATTTACACTGATTCACATTTGAGTCAACTGTAAAAATCTGGTAACGTAGTTTTCAAATGTTACCGGTTCAAGAGGAAAAACCTAGATAGCACTTACCAGTCAATTGTCACAACATGAAATGCTAATTTGGTTATAAAGTTGGATATTTCACAGATACGATTGTTTTGCTAATGACAGAGTAATGCATAATGTAGTCCGGTGATGCTAACAGTCCCCACAGACCAATTCTTCCCCAAACGATTTCACTCTATATATTTACTATTCTATTAGTAAAATACCCAGTGAGATGTCTTGATCTTCTCACTACATCTACCACAACTATAGGCAAAGGGCAAACCTCCCCATAACTGTCAGTGACTCCAAGTCAGAAACAATCGTGAAGACACCCTGTGCTATTGCACACCCAGGCAGGCAGCGCCCTCGAATGCCTCGTCCGTAACTGACCAAGAACTCACTTCAGAGAGGCTTTTCTGCTTCCGTCAAATGAATAGAATATGGTATAAGAGAATGAAATTGTTTTCTTAAACCCAAAGTAGGAGAGGAAGGTAATGGCAGATGCTGTATTCTATAATTTAGAGGCCAAGATAGCTCAAATAGCTTAAAGCTCCATAGATTCCTGCTTAGAGTGCACTTGCTTTTCGCATCTGCAGGTCTTGTCTTGCTCTTGTTCTGCCCTAGACAGCAGCATTGTGTCCCCCTCTCTGGCAGATAGAGGCGTGAGACAGAAAAAATCCAAGCCCACAACTGAGTACATGCGAGTGGCAAAGGGAAGATGACACATTTCAAGTTCTGGTAAATTCTGGTAAAATATTTACGTTTAAAAAATTCTATAAAATTTTCACTCATGGAAAGAATTGAAAAGTATTTCTACATATATACACACCCAAATACACAAGGTTTTTGATGTAGACTTAGTGTCTACTATGGTATTATAATAATCATAATTTCCACAGATATAGAACCCATAGCACATAGTAGTATGAAAATAGAGTTGTATGAATAAAAATTGAGTAAGAATAAAGAATAAATAACAATAATGGTCTCTAGATGCCAATACAATTCTAAGTATGGGAATTGATCAGCCACAGTTCTTACACGAGTACACTCTTGGATAAGACAAAACTTAAACACTAAAACATCCTTGTATTCTGAATTACTCTTAGTTTATAAATACCATGTGCTTAGTCTTAGACCTGCGAACAGGAACATCATGTGATGCAGGACTTTTTACATCCTCTGTTCTGCATTATAGCAAGGATACTTGAACAAAAACCAGGCTTCTTCCCTGAAGGCTTTCTTGCTCCTGTTGGTGCATGTTTCTCAGGAAACATTGTCCAGAGGCTCATCAGAGATACATCACAGACAGCAGGCTCAGAATAAGAACTCAGGCTTAGAAACGGGGGAAAAAAATGTGAAGGAAAACCAAAATCATATCCCATACCCTGTTTCCATAGAGAGAAAAAAGAACTGAGCTTGCAAAGTGGTTTTGATAGATTTTTGGAAGGCATCAATAAATCTTCAATAACCCTGAAGTACTACTTACTGTTCTTATGAAGGAGAGCGAGCGAGAGAGAGAGTGTGTGTGTGTGTGTGTGTAGACATGGTACCTTTAAAAGACTGGTTGCTATAAAAAGGTTACTTTAAAAAATGGGGGTAACATAGTAACAATTCAGGATCAAGCTGCGTGTCTATTTAAACCACAGGTAGCTTGATGAGATGGTGCTGGTAAGCTTTGCTTCTGTCTGCAAAGACTGCAGAAGTAAAATGCTGTTGACAGTTATTCGATACCCTCCTGCCTTCCAGTCGCCTCCCCTGTATTCAGCAATTGCATTATACTATGAAGCAATTCTGTATGTTTGTGTGGCTAGGGTTCAGTGTAAACCATGCCCTGAATAGTTTTATTGCTTGCATGTACAGTGGCATTAACAATTTCATGATTACCAAAGTGGCTGGTGGCATTTTTCCTAGTTGAAAAGTTTGCACAAAAGGTTGATTTTCCATGAAAGCAAAGTTTAAGTTTAGAAAATTGCATTGTTTTGTAAATAGCAAAAATATTTTTCGAGTATGGAGGAAAGGGACTTCAAAGAAAACGTGACTCGGCAGCACATAAGGGACAAGCGCTGGGAATGCTGATTTTGGCAGGAGAGCAACTGATGGTCGTTTTCAAGGTTCAAGTTGCCGTGACTGCTCAGGTATCTTAGAAAGCAACGGCGCTGCCTTCTATCCTGATTAGCGGTTCTTTGGGTTGAGTGTTTTGTTACCTCTGTCCAAGTGAAGGTATTAGCAATTCACCAAGGGAAGTGGAGGAGGCAGTTCCTTGCTCACGGTGCATGGCTGAGGATGTGGGCTGGAAAATGAACATGCTGACTGGGGAACGTGACACTCTATTCGAGTACTATTATTTCTTTTATAAAAAGTTGCTAAGTGGAAATTGTGGTGCAGCGGCGAGTGAAGTTGCTACTTGGACACTCACACCCACATTGAAGAGCAAGGCAGAGTCCTGGCTGCTGCTCCTGCTGGTCGTTTCCTGCTATGTGCTTGGGAAGCAATGGGTGAAGGAGCCTGCGGGGCAGTGCCTGGCTTCTCCCTGGCACAGCCCCCAGCTCAGGTAGCCTTTTGGGGAATAAACTAATGAAGGACCACTTTCTCCCTTCCTCTCTGCCTTTCAAATATGTCTTTTAACATTACTTTTTCTTTAAAAAAAAAGTACAATATTTTCATTTGAATATTTACTAAGTTAAATCACATTTGTTGAGCCAAAATGTGAGCCTGTCCGTACTAGTTCTGTTAATGGTAAGGAAGGTATATTTTTGATGTTCAAATAGTTTTAAAAAGTGATCACTCATAAATCTTAGCCCACATATTTCCAAATTCTTTTCATTTTACATTTTTGTTGCTTCTCTTTTCTTGACATTAAGAAAACCAAAGCATTATGGGTAGCTATACTTTAACTTTCTCAAGCCTTCTGAACACAGGAGTGTGTCACACAAGTGCCCACACACACACACAGAAGGTCGGCAAGTCGAAAAGAGAAGCAGTGTAAGGTTTCTCTAAGTCTGCTCAATTTGACAGAACTCCTCTGTCTCCTTTTGGCTCAGGTATTTGGTTTAATGTTAATATGCCTTTCTGGACAACAGGACACTAATGTTGCCAGCAGTAATTGGTCCACTTGCTTTTTCTGGAGTGGAAAAAAAGCAGTAAGTGCTCAAGTGATAGAGGCTAGTGAAATGTGTGGCAGTGTGTAATGCTGGATACACGGACATTTCTGCTATAGGAGTAGGGTCATTCTTGTGGATTTCCAGCTGACTGGGGTCATGTGAAGGGACAGATGTGAGCAAAGGATTAAGTCGGATCATTGACCTAATGTGGCACTGTAGCCCAAGTACAATGTGAAGAGCAGCCTTCATGACAACAGACTGTACAGGAAAATGCCCGAGGTTAAAAGGAGAAAGCATTGTCTTTAGGCCCATGGACACTGCAGAAGGCTGCCCGGAGGGAGGGGGAGGAACATCTTTCCTTTGCTATCTACACTGCCTGCCGAACTCTAAGCACAGTTGACACGCGTGGCTCTCGTTCAGCTTTCCACAGTGGAACAAGCCCCACGCAGTGCGTGTTCATGACAAGCAGTCCTTGAAATGGAAACCCTTACCACACACGCAGATAGGCCATGTGTCTAGTCGGCGTGTATGGCTCAGAGTTCAGGTTTTGGTGAAAATTTGTTCATGCTGGTAAGTACTGCAATGATTATAGGATTGTGACTGGTAACAAAATCCATGGACTCTGAGCATCCCAGCAGCCAAAATGCAACTGCTGTTCAGAATAATCCAGACTGAAGCGGTATTAGACCCGCGTGTGAAATTATTTTAACAGGTGTTCATAGCACCTTCTAAGAGAGGCACTGTTTTTAGACATATAATAGACATACAGCACCCTGAAAATCCTGTTGGAGTTCAGTGAAATATCCATGTCATGTAAGTTACTGCTTTATGAAAGGGTCAACATCATTCAACGCCATCACCAAGAACATTTCAATTTGGTACACTGCCCAGTCTCAAGATGAAACATGCTTTATATTAAAAAATATATAGATAATTGTGACCTAAAGCTGAGAACAGCATGTATGATATACATATATATGCTGATTTAATGTTATATACACAGAATTATGTACTTCACATGTTTTTCTAGAAATACTAAGACAATATCTTATGCTACTAAGTTGCAAGTTTAAATACCAACAGTTTGTCCTTTTTTTGTTTTAAAATAACAATGTCTTCTATGCAGCTTGAGCTTCATAAACTAAATAAGTTAATACAACAGCCTAAACTGTCCCTGTATTTTTCACCATAGATCTATTTTGGCAACATAGAGGTATATCTTTCTCATAGGTCCTATGTGTGAAAGACAACGTGAAAGTGGGTCATTCTAACTTGGTAGTGGTGTAATATATTGATACCATTTCCTTCAAGACAAAAGGACATAATCAAGAGATAGCTCATAAAAATTGCATTTTCACATTATTTCAAAACTTTATCAGGAGAATGGTTCTACACAGTAACTTCAAGAATACATCAATATAGGAAAATAGTCGCCCAAAGGTGCATTGATGAGTCTGTTTTCAACATAAAGTGCTAGGAGATGAGGAAGGAGAGCTGGGAATGTCTTCAGCCTCTGCATGCGGGGCTGGCCTGGCGTTCAGCACTCAGACTTTCTCTTAGGTTCAGGATGGTCATCCACGGTGGCCACGTGCTCACTGGGACCATCGGCAGTCTCACCTGTGACAGCTAAGAGGATGATTTTTAGCCACTTCTGTTTCAGTTCCTCACTATCAGCAGCAAAACTGTGCACAGACTTGGACTGGGTCAGCTTGAAGCTGTGTGGCAGGTCTGCGCTCCTCGGCATGTCATCCACGGAGTAGCCCAGCAGGGGGATGGTGGTCTGTGCTCGGACATCCTGCGGGAACAACACGGAGCGTGATGTGCGGGAAGTGGCCCTGCATGCCCCTGCTCCAGGGGTGGGCTTATGGCTCAGCTGCTGCTTGGGATCCCTGCAGCCCACATCTGCTCATGATCCCAGCTTCCTGTTGCTGTACACACTGGGTGGCAGCAGGGGATGGCTCAAGGAGTTGTAACCCTGCCAGCACGTGGGAGACCTCAACTGAGAGTGGCCAGGCTTTGCCAGGGCCCAGTCCCACAGGCGTCTGGAGAGAGAAGCTGTGGGCAGATCTGTCCCTTATGCAGAGCCTCACTGTGGCTCTCCGTGGGCCTGGAGAATGCCCTGGTGAGTAGCTCCATGCCTGCACGTGTGGGCAACAGTGACACTGGCTGCATGGAGTAGGAGAGTTGACATCTAAGTCAGCTTGGAGTCTATTCCTTCTTCACTGAATGGACTTACTCTCAGAAGAGAAGAGAGTAAGAGCCATCTTAGTATCTAACACTAGCAAGTGGCAAGGAAAAAGACACCGGGAAAACAGATGTTGAATAAAATGTGTTACTAGCTGCTAATGTAGACACAGCTAAAAATGCTGCAGGTACAGAAAGTATTTCCATAATCCATGGACCTCTTGTTCAAGGACAGCATCATCAGTACCTGGTGCTGCTCTAGGTATCTAAACCCTGTCAGTTACTCCTGCAGATTGACCTCAGAACCATGCATTCCATCCGCAAAGAACTACTGAACAATGTAAATGGAAGATCGATTTAAATCCCCTCTCCCCTTTACTTTTCCTAGAGAGTAAAAAGCAAAATCCCCCGTCTTTGTTTTCATTTGAAAGGTGGAGCAAGGATTCCATCCAGATTGCGGAAGTGCATCTCAGGGATTCCGGCGCTGAGCCATCACCTGCTGCCTCCCGGGGCACTAGCAGGGAGCTGGAGTGAAAGCAGAGGCGTGAGGGCTCAAACTGCTGCTCCATACTGGTAGGTGGAACTTAACCTGCTGAGCCACTGTGTCCCCAGCTCCCCAGTCTTTCCTCCTCCTCCTTGGGTTCCTTTCTGATCCGACTCACATTTTCTCAGAACAAGGAATAAGAGAAAAGAGGACCAGTGTGGCATAGCTGGTTAAGCCTCAGCTTGCAATTATGGGTGTTGGTTCGAATCCCAGCTGCTTTACTTCTGATTCGGCTTCTTGCTTGTGGCCTAGGAAAGCAGCAGAGGATGGCCCAAAGCCTTGAGCTGCTGCATTCACGGAGATGGCAAGTAAGCTCCTGGATCTAAGCTTTGGACTGGCCCACTTCCAGCCACTGCAACTATTTGGAGAGTGAACCAGTGGATGAATCTGCCTTTAAAAAATTGTGTTTGAAAAGATTTCAAACACAAATCTTTTCAAATGCAAAAGTTATTTGCATTGGAAAGGCAGATTTCCAAAAAGGTTGGTTCACTCTCCAAATGGCTGCAATGGTCAGAGCTGATCTGAAGCCAGGCGTTTTTTCTGGGTCTCCTACTTGAGTGCAGAGTGCCAAGGCTTTAGGTATCCTCTGCTGCTTTCCCAGGCCATAAACAGGGAGCTGACTGAAAGTAGAGAAGCCAGGACATGAGCTTGGAGGTAAAGGATTAGTTAATGGAGCCAAACACATAAATCTTAAATAGAAAAACGATTTTAACTTATTGGATCTTGATTGTGCCAAAACGTCTCCTACTCCTGCAGTATATAAGTGCCAAAACTCTAATCCTTTAAATGGTAATCTGTGAGAATCATCTATTTAAGGACTGACTTACTAGAAAGGCAGTTTCAGAGACAGGGGTCTTACAGAAATTGGGAGGGGGGGGTGAACATGCAAATGCAATAGAGGATCTGTGCCAAGTCAAAAGCTGGAGCCAGGAACTCCCCTCAGGGCATCTGTGCTGCGTTTCCAGCTGCATTAGCAGGAGCTGGGCATCCCACAGTAGCCTAACTTAGTGAGTTGTGGAGCCATCCCCAAAGAGTCCTTTATAAGTCAAAGGATGGGTGCTCAGACAACAGGTTAAGCCACTGCTTTCGATGCCCACATTTTCTATCAGAAAGCACTGGATCCATGTGAGGCACACAAGAGGTTCCTGCCTTCAGGTGAGTCCAGCCCCTTGGGTACCATTTGGAGAGTGACCCAGTGGATGGAAGATCTCTCCTCCTCTCCGTAAATCTGCCTTTCAACCAGAAATCAACGAATCCTGGTTGTTAGAGTCAATCAGCTTTAACTAACTTGGCTCTTCCTCTATTTTCCAGTCTGCTACTCAGTGAAGCTGCCCGTGTCCTATGCAGGGGTGATGGCAGAGGCTGGACTGTCCTGCCTCCCTCTAACCTGCCAGGTGCGTGTGGGTTAGATACCTGAGGGGCGCCGTACATATACAGCACGAGAGGGTCTTGCTTGGGGATGACACACCAAGCTTTCTGCCAGGGCTTTGACTTCTCCATGTACTGAAGAAAGCTGCACACCACGCTGTTTCCTGACACTTCAGCAGATTCAATCTGGAAGAATCAGGAGACGAAGGAACGCAATGGGCCACATGCCGAAGAGATTCACCTTCCAACACACACTCCCACAGTGCACAGCAAGTTTATGCTGTCCAGAAAGATCCACGCGCAATTGTGTAAGTCCGCTATCACTACCAGTTCTTGAATCAAAATAGCTACAAAATTTACTCACTGCTTATGGTGTGTTTCCCAGCTCAGTACCTGTGTTACCCCATTCAATTCCCATGCCAACACTAAAAAATTCCTAATTTCATTATCTCTGAGGACCACGGTTTAAATAGAACAGATCCAAAACTTCATAGAAAATCCAGCTGAAAACTAAGTTTATTTTTTTCAAAAACTTTTTGAAGTCCAAGAATACAAGCAGTAATCCTCAAAAACTTCATGAGAAATGCATATGATAAAAAAATACATGCATTTCAAAAATTTATTTTGGTGCAAAATTACTTTTAATTCCACATTGCAGGAACTTTGTGGCATACCCCAATAAGTAATTGGTTAAAAGGCTAGCTGGAGATTTTTATTTCAGAAACAACCTGAAATTCACTTTAAAAACAAGTTATGTGACTTGCTGTATTGTGCGCATCTGTGGCTGCGGGCGTGTTCCTGGGGGGGCCCACGAGGGGTGTGTTTGGACTGGACCTTTTCACTGTGGGCCATTGTGTACTCAAACCATGTACATGGTCCATAGCATCCACTGGCCCTTTACAGAATCCTCATTATCTAAGGTAATTCCTTACACTGTAGGCATCTTTGGACTTTAAACTTATTTCAGGTTTAAGATGTTGTATGACTCCCTTGGCATGGGAAAGTGAAATTCACTTGAGGCACTTGAAAATATTTCAGTTAGATTACTGTCACAGTTAAATGACCATAATAACTTGGAGATTCATAACGAACTCATCAGGTAATAAGACGGTACCTCAAATTTGAAAAACATGCAATGGTTTATAGTGGAGAGAAATCTGAAAGGAAGCACTTTAGCATTAGAGATGTCAATGCATAGTCCGACACTTGCTGAGGGCTGCAACCACAAAATTAGCGCAGTTCACTCAGATGCTGTTGGTTTAACGTTACAGAGTCAGGATCCCAAAATACAAAACTAATGTTAAGAGAGATAACAGGATAGATTGGTGTTCTTCATAGCAAAGTAACCTCAGCATTCTCTAAAAATCTGACACAGCAAACAGGAAGTACTTCCTACCTCTAGGATTCCTTTCCTCTTCTTTTCCTCACTGTCTGTGAACCCGCTTATGATGAGGTAGCAGTCTTTACAGACTTTGCTTAGTTTCCCACCGTCGTACTCGAGCTGAGCTTTGTAATCGGAGCACTTCCAGCAAACCACCTGAAATGGAAAAGGGTAACGAGTGGATGTGATAGCAAGACTAACCCAGGCACTGACTTTTCCTCTTAAAGGTAAAAGGCAGCTTTTGCTTGGACAGAGCCATCTCCACCACAGGGTAGGTGCTGCCGTGTGGGGCTCCCGTCCCCCGCCCCAGCCTCTGCAGGAAGGGCACCATCCGAGGCTGCAGCCAGACCCCCGCCCTGCGTCCTTCTCCATGGACCATCGGCATCCTCCACAGTGAGTACAGAGCTCAGCCACCCCACAGTGATTCTCAGCACCTCTATTGCACTGTTTGTAATAGGACAGAATCCCACAGATTGTGTCCTGGTTTGGATCACTGCTGTGGCTTCCTGACTGTCCTATGCTTTTCTTAAGATTTATTTTTTTTTATTGGAAAGTCAGATATACAGAGAGAAGGGGAAGATCTTCTGTCCGATGATTCACTCCCCAAGTGACCGCAACCGCCAGTGCTGCGCTGATCCGGAGCCAGGAGCTTGTTCTGGGTCTCCCATGCAGGTGAAGGGTCCCAAGGCTTTGGGCCGTCCTTGACTGCCTTCCCAGGCCACAAGCAGGGAGCTGGATGGGAAATGGAGCAGCCGGGATTAGAACCGGTGCCCATATGGGATCCCGGCACATTCAAGGCAAGGACTTTAGCTGCTTGGCCACCACTCCGGGCCCCATGTCCTATGCTCTTTTAAAAATGTTCGCTTGTAGGGTCAGTGCCATGGCATGGCATGCTAAGCCTCCATGTAAGGTGCCAATTTGAGTCCCGGCTGCTCTGTTCTTAATCCAGCTCCCTGCTAATGCATCTGAGCGAGCAGTAACAGATGGCTCAAGGCCTGGCCCCTGCGCTCATGTGGGAGACACACAGGAGCCCCAGCTCTGGCCATTGCAGCCATTTGCTGAGTCAACCAACAGACACAAGACTTCTGCCGTGGTGTAACTCTTCCAACTGAATCTGGTATGTTCCTCCCCTATTTACTTTTTCCTTTGTTCTTGGAGTGAGGTAGGGGAGATGAAAAACCTGCCAGAAGCTCCTGGCTTTGGCTGGGTCCAGCCGTGGACGGTGCTGTCATCTGGGGAGTGGATCACTGTCTCTCTCCCTCTCTGTAACTCTGCCTTTCAACTAAATTTTTTTTTTAAAGATTTATTTTTATTATTTTTTTCATTGGAAAGGCGGATATACAGAGAGGAGAGACAGAGAGGAAGATCTTCCGTCCGATGATTCACTCCCCAAGTGAGCGCAACGGGCCGATACTATGCCGATCCAAAGCCAGGAGCCTCTTCCGCTCTCTTCCGGGTCTCCCACGCGGGTGCAGGGTCCCAAAGCTTTGGGCCGTCCTCGACTGCTTTCCCAGGCCACAGGCAGGGAGCTGGAAGGGAAGCGGGGCTGCCGGAATTAGAACCGGCGCCCATATGGGATCCCGGGCGTGCAAGGCGAGGACCTTTAACCACTTGCGCCACCGCGCCGGGCCCTCAACTAAATCTTAAAAATGTTTAGTTCAGGTGAAATTTAACTGAAAGATTTACCATGAACTCTCCTTTCCTTATTTTTTTTGTAAATGCTTTTTTAAAAAGTACAAGGGTTTCAAAATCTTTGTACCAAAATTTTTTAAAAAATGAAACTATATCATACTTTAGTAGCATGTTGTAGGATTTACTTATTTGAACATCAGAATTACAGCGATATACCTTCGATTTGCTGATTCACTCCCCAGATGGCTGCTACAGCTAAGGGCAGACTGTGCCCGAGTCAGGAACTCCATGTGCATCTGTGTCTCCTCCAGGGCTGGCAGGGACCCAAATATTGGGCCATATTCTGCTTTCCTAGGTGCAGCAGCAGGGAGCTGGACAGGAAGTAGAGCTGCTGGGACTTGGCTCTGATACAGGATACTAGCATTCCAAGTGGGGGCTTAACATGCGGCACCACACCATGCTTCCTAAAGCACGCACCTTTTAATGCCATTTCCCCAGAACCTGAGGTACTCTTGTATATTCATTAGTCAGAACAAGATAGTGCCTATGGTTCCTTTAGGAGCCTCCCCGTCACGTGTGACTCAGCTTAAGGACTGGCCCCACCTTGAGCAGCTTATGTTTAGAAGTAGCATTATTGGGTTTGGCACAGTAGCCTAGTAGCTAAAGTCCTTGCCTTGCATGCGATCCCATATGGGCACTGGTTCGCGTCCCAGGTGCTCCATTTCCCATCCAGCTCCCTGCTTGTGGCCTAGGAAAGCAGCTGAGGATGGCCTGGGGCCTTGGGATCCTTCACCTGCATGGGAGACCTGGATGAGGTTCCAGCCGTTGTGGTTACTTGGGAGTGAACCTGCAGATTGAAAATCTCTATTCTCTATAAATCTGACATTCCAATAAAAACAAATAAATCTTACAAAAAAAAAGGCAGCATCAACACTGTTAGCTATGACAGTAATAGTGAATGAACCAGCAATCAGACAAGGACCTTGAAACACAGCCATTATTGAACATGTTTTTGAGTCTTCTTACTAGATACTGACAACTGCTCAGTATAAAGCTTTACTTACAGTAAAGAGAATTTACCAGCACCAAATAAATAAGATGCTGTGAGCTGACATGGCAAGTGAACTCTGCCCCACCATCCATCCATCGTGCCTTGCTTTGCAGGAGAGAGCCTCGCCTCTTTGCCATAGATAGGGCTGTCTATGCCTTAACCCAGTTCATCTCTTCTCAGGGCCCGATGTTCCTTTTATCTCACCTTTAAGGGCTGCCAGTGGAGCCTTCCAGCCTTCAGTTGCCTTCAAAAGCTCTGCCCAGTTCTCCTAGCCCGTCCCTGAACACTGTAACTATCGTGCTGTCCTCTACCCCACTCCTAGGCGTGCGCTGGGGACTTTGTATCATGGACCATGGTTCTCTGCTGTGCTCGGTGATGCCAACACGCACGTGACCCTGACATCTCAGGCAGTCACCCTTAGTTGTCCATTCCTCTGGACACCTGCTGGACTCAGACTGCCAGAAAGTGAATCACATCTGGCAGTCTAAGTTCAAACACTGATATTCATAGTTCTCTTGTAGCAAGATAAACAGGGCCACACATCTTTGAACTTAGAGAAAACCGTTTTCTCATTAGCTGACACACTTCTGCCTCATCTAGACTGCCCTTACTCACTGAGGCAGTTCTCTCTCAGTGTCGTCTCAAGGCTTCTTCGATTGTTGGTTCGCTCATCAACTTGCTAGTGCCACATTTCACCCACTCACTCCTGCCCGGGATCTTTTGGCAGACTCAGAACAGACCAACCACTGTCTGAAATGTACTTTGTGCCTCCCCCTTTTATATGTATGTTGTAACTGGTTTATTTATGATTGCTTTTATTGAAGAGTGGCAGATTGTCCATCTATTGGTTCACTCCTCAAGTGGCCACAACAGCCTAGGCTAAACCGGGTGCCAGGCATGCAATCCAGGTCTCCCGTGGGTGGCGAGAGCCCAGGTACCTGGCCAGCCTTCAGCTGCATTTCCTGGTGTATTTGCTGGGCTGCAGGTAGAGCAGCCAGGACGCACACGCTTCAGTGAAGGGATGCTGATGTAAGCAGCAACTTAACTCCCTGTGCCCGAGGCTCTTTCCTCCCTGGCACTTTAAGGATCTATTCTTTCTCACCTCTTCTGCAGCATCTTAAATGCTGACCCTTAGGTCCCCCCTTTTCTAATTAAAATTGGTTTGAAGTCTTCCTCTGCTCCTTTTGTTTGCTTTCTTTTTCCATCTGCAGTAATGTGAACCTAAGCTGATGGTTCTATTGCAGTTACTCGCGGCCTGCCCAACCCAGAAAGCTCACTCACGTGTCCACAGGCTCGACAGTGATGCCGCCGCCGCGTCAGCGCGTTGAATGACTCTTTGCATTTCATGCACATGGTTACTTCGTTATCTCGGATCCATCTGGGTGCTCTCTTCCCCAGCTCGGCAGTCTAAAGGGGGAAAATAAGAGTTGTAACAGAAAAAAACTACATTTGCAGGTTCTTTAACATTTTTTTTTTCTTACATGCACTCAAAACTAAATAGTTTAAGGCATTCATTAGCATATACGTGCTAAGCCACAGTAGGACTTCTGCCCAGCTAGTTCTGCCTCTCCTGCAAAAGGAGAGGGCTGATAACAAAATGCTTACATCGATTTTCTGCAAAGAGAGAAAAAGAATTTAGAAGTATTTAATTCAACTTACAGAAACCTCCGATTGCATATCATTATCCTTTGCAATTGCATTTCTGAAGGTTTCGTTCCTTTGATGAAAAGCATCAATAGTCTCCTGCAGGGCCTGAAATACAAATGAAATTCAGAGGACACATTACCGTATCCCCTGCAAATTGATGAAGTACTAAAATCTGATGGAAATCCCTTAAATTAATTCAACTTGTTCTGGTGACTGCATAGGAAGCAAAAGCATAAGTATGTACAACATATAGCTGATGCTGAAAAGAGTCGATAGAAACAAGGCTTACCTTGATCCATTCCTCTTTGTCTTGCTCAGAACTAAAACAAAACAAAATTCAGTTCAGTGCAGACGATATTAATGAATTATAACTGATAAATAAAACGACACTTTCAAATTGTTCCTACTTCCCAGAAAATTTAGACATGCTCTAGAAGTTAGTAGAGCCTGAACCAGGAAGAATCTCTGGAGCCAGAGCTGTGGCACAGTGGGTTGCTGCTGCCCACCATGCTGGGTTCTCCTCGGGGTTCTGGTCCAGCTCCCCACTCATGTACACGAGCAAGGAGGAAGATGGCCCAAGTGCCTGGGCCTTTGCAGCCCACATGGGAGACGCAGATGGAGTTCTGGGCCCCTGGCTGGCCCAGCCACAGCTGTGTGAACCAGTGATGAAGCATCTTTGTCACTCCCTCTCTCACTGTAACTGTGCCTTTCCAATTAAAAAGCTTCTGGCAACTGAATTGATCTGTTCTGGACTAACTGCTCGGCACACACCATTTTCATGGGAAGACTTAAGTCTGGTGTTCGTTACTACACACTGGCCCTCATGCTGGTTAACCACCAAAGGCTCTGCATCTTGCAGATTTCTGGAAAGAAATGAAAGTTATTAAAGGCTACTAGTTATAGCCTGTCTTAGGAAAAAAAAAGATTCTGAGTTTTGAAAACTAAAATATGCATGTAAGGCCTTGGGGAGCCATTTAACATTTCCTGTGATGGACAACTTCTTACTCCTGGAGGGTGCAAGGCAGTGCCATTCCTAACCCATTATAGGTAAAGCAAGACACAGCCGTTTTAAAGGCCCACGTGTAATGGTTCTGCTTGGGGCACTGAGCTCAGCCAAGCCCCTTTGTCTCATTGTCCTCCTGGTAGAGGGCTCCAGCAGCTCCTTCCTGTCACAGGCTATCCTGGCTCTCAGCTGGGGTCTGTTGGCATGTTCTGTCACCCAGACAGAAGCTGGACGCCTGGTAGGCATATCCTCTGCCTGATCCCCCACAGGTTTTTGAAGACATTCTCTAAAAGCCAGACCTCCTACCTGCTGCAGGTACCTACAACAGCCAGGGCTGAAGCCAGGAGCCAGGAGTTCTACTATCTAGGGTTCTCAGATGGTTGGCATGGACCCAAGCAGGTGAGCCATCATCTACCTTGCATGGTGCATGTTGGCTGGAAACGAAAAACCAAGACTCAAATGAGGCCCAGTGATGGGGTCATACCGGTTAATGACTGTACTAAGTCCTCCCCTCATCCACCATCATGTAGATGCTGGTTTAAGTCCTGGCTGAACCACTTGTGATCTAGCTCCCTTTTAATGGCCTGGGAAACAAGCCCTTGGGTTCCTGCACCCATATGGGAGAACCAGAGGAAGTCCCTGGCTCCAGGCTGTGGACTGTCCCAGCACTGGCCATGGCAGGCATCTGGGGAGTGAACCAGCTGATGGAAGAGCTTTCTCTGTCTTTGCCTCTCTCTCTTTCAACCAAAAACAAACATTTTAAAATAAATTTGTTTTCAGTTCTACTTTTAATTTCCATTGAATACGAACTATAAAAAACCAACATGCCACACTTTTCTTCCTTCTGAATGTGAAAGAGGAAACACATGAAGAAGTCATTTCTGAGGCTGACTCCTGACCCAGGCCGCATCTGGCTCCCAAAGCAAATTCTCTTTAAATATCTCCAAAAGACAGCCGAGTGTCAGCTCAGTGCAGAGCCTCTGGGCTCTGGGCCTGAGTCATCCCTGCACCTTCCAGACTTACTTCCCTTCTTGGGAGGGCCACGGGGGACCTGGTGGAGAGCACTGGCTCACAGCAGCTCATTAGCACAGTGAGTGATGTAAGAAAGACTGTGTCCCCAACACTAACGTGAGTCATTCTGATCCACTACACTTCACTTGATTGCTGCCTGTACTTCACGCTCCTGCTGGCAAATGGGACAGAGTTGAAACTGCTCCAGGAGGAGCGTACATCCTGTGTCAAAGTACCTGAAGCCAAGTCCCATCTCCACTGCAGATGCAGGTTCCTGCTAACTGGTGCCCTGTGAGGCAGCAGGTGATGGCTTCAGTACCTGGGTCCTTGCTACCCACAGGGGGTGCCTGGAAGGATGGAGTTCCTGACTCCTGCTGCAGCCTGGCCCAGCTCCAACCGTTGTAGGCATTTGGGGAATCAATGATAGAAGAGAAATCTCCCCGGGTACACACATCTGTTGCTCTGCCTTTCAAATAAAACTTTAGCAAAACAATTCCTGGGGCCTGCCTTGTGGCACACAGGGTTAAGGCCGCCATAAATTCTCCTAGGAGGAGCCTCATGTTTGCTGAGAGCTCTGTGACGGGGACGCCCCTCACCTGGCCTGAAGTTCCAGTGTGCGCTCCTTCCCGGACACCTGGAACGTGTGTGGGTATTCTTCGTTGTGCGTCTCCACGATTTTCATCCCGTCGATGCCGACCCTGGTTCGGACTGTGAATTTGGAGCCTACCAGGCTGAATCTGGGCACGCAGTAGAGCAGCATGTTGTTGAACTGCAAGGAAGCAGAATGCACATCAGCAGCCAGGAGCAGGAGGGAAAGCAGGAAGGCACCGTCACCCAAAGCCAGCCTGCCTGACCGTGGACTCGGCCCGCGGCTCTGCAGGGCTGCCATGCAGGTGTGCACAGACCCCGACTGCCACACGCATATTTTACAGTTATATTGAAAAGCATCACTCCTTAAATTTTTAAAGCTGTACTTCCCTTCCATAGCTCAGATATTTTATGGAAATTTATTTAAAACCAGTCATGATTTTGTACTAATGTTTTAGGGAAATTAGTCCAGTAATTTCAGCTTATTAAGGACCTTTGATGTTCTGAACCCTGAAAGTTCTTAAAGTTATTAAACTCCAGAATTTCCATGTGTCTTTAGGGCCAATCAGAAATAGCTGCTAGGGGAAAAAAAATTAGCAACTACTTTTTAACCACTGGGTTTAATATGAAGTTTTCTTAAAATACCCATTTTAGTAGCTCTAAGCATCATTAGAACCTGTAGAGTTGAACCTGATGGAAAAAGTGAGCCAACATCCCTTAGGTTACTATGGCAAACTGGATCACAGACTCAAGTATGATGAATATATTTTTTAAAGATTTATTTATTTTTATTGGGAATGCAGATCTACAGAGAGGAGAGACAAGGATGTTCCATCTTTCTACTGGTTCACTCCCCAGGTAGCCCCAATAGTTGGAGCTGAGCTCAAGCCAGGAGTCAAGGGCTTCTTCCAGGTCTCCCACACAGGTGCAGGATCCCAAGGCTTTGGACTACCTTCCACTGTTTTCCCAGGCCACAATCAAGGAGCTAGATGGGAAGCAGAGTAACTAGGACATGAATCGGTGCCCATATGGGATTCTGGTGCATGCAAAGCCAGACTGTAGCTGCTGAGCCATCGCACTGGGCCCTACCACATACATTCTGAATTGGAAGAAAAGCCAAATGTTTTATCAAAAGGTTTTTAAAGATAGGGATTTATTTCTAAGAAGGTCTACTTTGAAAACGAAGGACTTGATTTTGAAATTGAATCAGATTATCTGTAGTGTCTGATTTCTGTGTTGAGAGGCACCAAGAGCGAGCGAGCAAGAGATAGAGCAAGCATATACATGCACTCTGAACTGCTAGTTCACTCCCTGAATTGCCACAGTGGCTTGCAGGAGGCCAGACTGTGGCCAAGGGGGCTAGGAATACAATCCAGGTTTTCCATGTGGGCAGCAGCAACCCAGCTACTGGCACCATCACTGCTGCCTGCAAGGGTCAGTGCCTCATCCTTAGTAACAAATAGCCCCTGTGAACCAAAATAGTTAAAAATGTTATATTACCAAGTCTGTGCCAGGCAGAAGCCAGAAACTTCATCCAGGTCTCCCACATGGACTGCAGGGGTCCAGAAACTTGACTGACATGTGCTGCCTCTCAAGCAGGTTAGCAGAAGGCAGGATCAAAAGAGGAGGTGCCGGGACTCCAAGAGGAACTCTGATAGGGGCTGTGGATGTCTCGAGAGGCAACTTCATGAGCTGTGCCATATTGCCCAATCCTCTGATTTCTTAGATTGTTTTTAAGGTTATTTATATTTTTTCTAGAGTAACTATCAACTAAAAAAAAAATGATCTTTAAAACTTAACCCTTCCAATAGCACTACGCTAAATTTAACATGATTACTATACTTGGTTTATTATTGAGTTTTCTCTAAGATGTTACATTCCTGGGCATGTCAGTGTACAGTGGGGCTCAGCAAAGGGCATTACTGTCCCCACCCTGCCTCTCCAGGGCTACAGGACCGTGCTCTCGACAGTTACAGGCTGTCGAGAAGACCGCACTGTTGTACACAGACTAAGTGCTTAAGTCCAGCAATTCTAGTTGTCCAGTCTTCTGGGAGTCGGTCTAGACTTGCCAGGCCCTCTTCTGACCCACACTGCCCGTCATGTTCATGTACTGTTGTACTCACTCTGGAAGCAAACTCCTCACCGCTTGTTCCTCCTGTATCCTCTGGTAACTGCCTGCAACCACTGTCCTAAATTTCAGTTCTGCACCGGAGGATGCAGAACTAGGAGAGCACATTTCAGATACGTCCCGGTAGGCCGACACGTCACACTGCTGGTGGGAGACTTTATCACAAAATGATCACTGTGTTCCAGTGGCAGATCTGGAAAAACCACCCAGAGGTTCCCATCACTGTCCCTGTTACAGCATAAACAAGGCAACTGCTGGCTGCCTTGCTCTCCATGGTCATCTTTCCCTACTCTGCCAAGGCCTCCTCCAAAGGCGGTTTGGTTCAGGCCGTGGCTGCTGCAAGTGCCACAGCACATCCTCAAGGAAGAGAATTATCCTTCACCAGCAACACTCACCAGATTCCTTCTGCCAATTCAGTGACGGCTACCATGTAAGGGAGTACAGCTGCTGTGTTATCAAATTCCTGTGCTTAAGTGTGCTGTAAGAAGTTCGGCCACATCTTGTTAATTTACAGGCACAAAGAAACAGGAGTATGGGGGTTCTTAAGCTCTGCCTTTTATGGCTACTCTTGTGCTGTCTCTTGTAAGCAGGCGAGAGCTCTTACAGTAAGGACACAGCAGAATGCCATTACGTAAAGAAGGCAGACAAGGAGCCTGCTCCCTCCATGCACTTTGCTCCTATGGCATAAGCCACCATCACCTTCCACTGAGTTGTTGGTCTCTGGGTTTCCCCAGTATTCAAATGCAGAAGTCCCAGCAGTGACAGAGCTCATGGTACACGGACTTCGTCATGGTAGGTGACTGAAGTCATGATCAGTGGAGCAATCTCTCTAAGTCCTAGGTTGTTATGAAACCTAGAAGCAAGTCTCCATATTACCAAGAACCGGAGGTGTGGGGCCAGAAGGTGGCACAGCACATTAAGCCTCAACCCATGACCCCCGGATTCCCTTACTGGTGCAAGCTTCAAATCCTGGCTTCTCTGCTTCTGACTCAGCTCCTTGTTCGTGTGCATGGGAAAGCAGCAGAAGATGGCCCAAGTATTTGAATCTCTGTCACTCACATTGGAGACCCAGATGGAGTTCTTGGTCCTTGACCTCAGCACTGGCTGTTACAGCCATCTGAGGAGTGAACCAGAAGATAGGAGAAAGAAAAAAGCCAAACATTGCTAAATATATGGGGAAGAAAGGAAGGCAGTCTACTGGCAGAGTCTGATAAAAACAAACTTGCAACCAGTCCTGGCAGGGTTCAGAATGACAGTATGCACAAGGGTCCAGTGCTGGGGCTGGAGCTGGTGTTACAGTGTAGCAAGTGAAGCCATGGCCTGAAATAGCAGCTCTCCTTTTGAGCACTGGGTCATAGGCGGGAACTAGAATACATTAGAGAAAAAAGAATAAAGAATAAAGGCCACGTGCACAGAGATAAAACCAGTCATCCTGATACCATAGGAAGGGCTTTTTACATGGGAGAAAAACCCCAGACTGAAGTGAAGGCAGGGACAAGGACTGCCCACAGTGTAAAGGAACAATGTAGCAAGCACACAGACCTCTGCCATGACTACTTTAGATACAAGCAAGGCAATTGGGCATGTATGTTTTTTCACCTGGAAAGTCTATACATAGCAATGACAGGGGACTCAGGGAAGAACAGTGGCCAGGAAATAGTAAATCAACAGAATGTCCAGGAAGTGGTGTGTATTGTCCTACAGAATGAAAGGAAAGCTGAAATCTGCAACAAGCAAGAGGAAGTCAGGAAGTGTGTCACATCCCACACCTGAACACTGCCGGCAGAGACCCTCTCTGAACGGCCAGGCTGTCTCCGCACGTGCTGCTCACGTGTGCTGCGCCCATGCACACAGCACAGGAACGCAGGGAAGGTTCGGTTGCTTCACACGGAATCTTACATAGAATCTTGATGGTATTGAATAACACAGGCTGAACATCACTGCATGGCCAGCAGCCACCCTCCTCCTCCAAGACATGTACCGTCACATACTAGTCACGGCTGCCTCTCCCACACTCACCAAGAAAAGGTAGCGTTCTTGTGCCGATGTGTTCCGAGCAGCTAACTTGAGGATCTGTCCTTCTTTTATGAGTTCATTTGAAGGATTTACGATGTCTTCTTCTTCTCCCAACATTTCATAAATCTCTAAGAGTTTCTTTAGGTTTTCCTAAGAAGTTAAAACAAGATCAGCTAAAAGGAGTTTGCAACTTAGTAGAGTAGCTTTACTACAACTAGGACCTTAACTAAAATCAGGATAACTGAGAAGGGGTTGGGGGTAAGTTTGTTTTGATCTGGCAGGTCCCAGTTATCCGTAGACTCAAACCTGATTAGAGAGGGGACAGAGGATTGTTCCAGATAACACATTTCATGGATGTCCTCTGCTGTTCGTCTCAGTTTAGTCTGGTTCAATCCTACAGATGGTATTAGCTTCTATAATTGACAATTTTCTAACCAAAAGGGGCCTATCTCCGCTAAAAACCACTTACCATTTTTCTTATTGCACTATTAGAATGGCTTGCTGCTGTCGATATAATTTCAAGTGATTCTAAATGGGAAAAAAAGAAAAGCAAATAAATATGCTTTGTCCTTCCTCGGCTATGCGGTAGCTGAGTGACTTACACCCTGAAACAAGAACTCTGGGACCAAATCCACCACGAAAGCAGTGGCAACGTCCATTCGTAAGCTGGATTCTTTCCAAGCCTGATTGTAAGCTGATTATGCGGAACCTGAAGGGTAGTTCCCTACAAAAAGTCAAATGATGAGGCTCATAAATATTTACTCCATGTCAGACCTTCAAAACCAGCAACCTCTCACAGTGTACGCTAACTTGATAGCAGGTACTTTGCCGGGTGCTTTCCTCCACAGCAGTGAGTTCTTACCCAGCATTGGATAGTAAGTGTGTTAGTTCCTTTTTGGCAGATGAAAAAAAAAAAAAAAATGAAGAGGTGATATGATTTGAGTAAGAAGACAGAGAGCCAAGTTATTCTAGAGCCAGATGTGAATCCTGTTTCTAACTCCAAATTCTAAGACATCCCTGAGGTTCTAAGTTATCCTACTAGCTTTAAAAGCAAACTAAGCACGACACATAGCCAGTTTTCCTTGGGAAAAAGCGCTCAGTTCTAGCCTGGATGGGAGGAGGGGGACTGCTCTGGTGCCAGCGTTGGGAGTGTGTTTCTGCTGGGCAGGCAGGGGTGACAGATGGGGAAGGGGAATGTTCAGTGTGGACATTGTAGCCGCGCCAGGGACAGCTGGTGAGAAGCTGTGGGAGCTGGGGCCGCAGGCGGCATCACCCCCGGACTCTCTCGCAGACCTAAGTCATGTCCTGTTTTCTTCCCTTCCCTTCTCTCTTGTGAATACTGGTGTGCTTCGCTGCGTTACCACAGCAACTCGATCACTTCCAGACTGCACTTTGTCTTCTTGGCACTGCTGAACAGTCCGCACTGTTGTTGCTTTTCCTTCTACTTTCAGGTTTGTTCAGTGAGCTCTACTCTGATTTCCTTGTGTAAATAGTGATGCAATACCAAAAAGGGTAGCGACATACTCTACCATGCTACCAACTTTCTTGTCCCTGACAGGGTATCATAAGCGAGCCAAAGGCTTTGAGTAAAGAAACTTTTTAAAAAAGCATGTTGACTTGGCCAACATTATACATTCAGTTCAGGATAGAGGAAGGAGACAGAATGGGTTGGGACCATTGCTTGGGAAACAAGTTTGAGGAAGAGCAGTAGGTCTTCTATCTGCAAGGCCTAACTCTGCCACTAAGAAAAGCACCCAGGGCAGGCGCTTGGTCTCGTGACGAGGGCAGCCGGGATGCCCGCGGTCTGTGCTTGGCCTGGAGAAGCAGCCGGGCTGCACACTCCACCTCTGTGCTGCTGTGCACCCTGGGAGCAGTGCCAACGGCCTGAGCAGTGGAGCTTCCAGCCCAGGCCCATACACTCATGTGGAGAGTGAACTGACAGCTCTCTTCCTCCCCACCCCCACCATAAAGTAAAAACAAAAGCAGGAACTTGGGCCAGATGCGCAGAAAGTGGGGACGTGGAAACTTCAGGGAAGCTGGGGGCTGGGGGATGGTGGTGGTTTACTCTCCCTGTGAAAGGTGACAGGGGAGAGGTGAAGTTTCTGTGGCCCGGGAGACACCTGCACGGTGTCAGATAGCCAGTGAGACAGCATATGTTCAAGACTCGGGTCTTGAAAGAAACGGTTTATGTTCCTCCTTTCTCTCGTCAAGTGTTGGCTTAGAAGGGACGCACACAAGGGGCAGGTTCTGGTGCACAGCAGTGCGATCAGCACTGGGGGAATATCAAGCCATTCCCAGTTCTTTAAAGTGCATGAAAAGCGGAACTTACATTGAAATGAAAAAGTAACAGACAATTAAGAAAACTGGAGGAAGGTTTTCTTAGGGAAAATGTTGTTGGACAATAAAAAAAAAAAAAAAAGCATCACGTCCTGTTTTGCTGTAGGGCGGCTGAGGCCCACTCCACACTCCACTCAGGTTATTTTAAGAGAGTAAGTATCCCTTCGTCGTCTAGGTATTCATCAACTGTCTGATGAAACAGCAGCACCAGTAATTCTGAATGGCTCTGGTCTCCCGTGAGAAGGTCACTGCATCCTGCTATTCCAGATGTCCCTGAACTCTGATTGGACACTTCAGAGCTAGTGATTAACATGAAACCCACCGGAGAAACGCACTGGCACTGCTCTAAACTTGTGATTTGGCCTCCAAAGAGACTTGCCTAATTGGGGTGCTGATAACTATTCCCAGGATTGTGTTCTGGGAGCAGTGGCTGGCTAAGGCGGCAGGGAGCCACCCGGCAGCCTGGCCGCTGGATGGGTCCGCAATGGGGAGGAAAGAGAAAGCGTTACTTTTCGCGTCGTTCCAGTCGGGCGAGCCTGGGGGCAGCTTCCTGAGGTAGTCCTTCAGGAGCAGCTCATAGCGGGGGATCCGCTGCACGGGTTCCAGCATGTGATGCTGCAGCGTCAGGTTCCCGCACACCTTCTGCTTCTGCATGGAGAAAGGGTTGAGGAAAGAGTCCACACACAGTCTAGAAACACCAGGAGGTAGCAACTTCCACTGGGGGCCAAACTCTGCTGCTGTCCCCAAGCACATGAGCAGAGATGGACCAGAAATGGGCCACCCCAAGCCATGAAGTCACAGTCTTTGGGGACAGAGACTGAAGACATCCCTGTATTCTATAACATTAAAGGTTTACATTAATAACCTGTAAGAACATACAGGAAAGATCAAGCAAAATTTTAAGCACGAATATTCCAGATCACTGGCAACCACTTCAATTAGTCATTACCAAGGATTAAGAAGTTACAGCACTAAGGCATGCACCTGTTATATGAGGTCTACTAAACATACAATCTTAAACGACTCTGGGGCCCGACGTGATAGTGTAGTGGTTAAAGTCCTCTCCTTGAATGCACTGGGATCCCATACGAGCGCCAGGTCTAATCCCAGCAGCTCCATTTCTCATCCAGCTCCCTGCCTGTGGCCTGGGAAAGCAGTTTAGGACAGCCCAAAGCTTTGTGACCCTGCACCCACATGGGAGACCCAGAACAAGCTCCTGGCTTTGGATTGGCTTAGCTCCAGTCATTGCAGCCACTTGGAGAGTGAATCATTGGACACAAGATCTTCCTCTCTCTCTCCTCCTCTCTGTATATCTGCCTTTCCAATAAAAATAAATAAATCTTTAAGAAAGTAAAATAAATGACTGGACTTTTCAGAAATTATTTCATAATAAGGCTATCATAATTTCTTCTGAACTTAAAAAAAAAAGATTCAACATAAGAATGAAAAGGCCTGGGTGCCTTATTATCTGTCAGAAAATTTTAACTTTTCATTGTCCAACACATTCTTTTTCATTAGGATCAAGCGATATAAGCAGATCCTTTCCTTTAGGCAAAATTAAACGTGTATCACTTGCTTTTTCAAACAGCTGTTAACATAAGAGGGAGGGATAACCAAGACACATTTATGTTCAGATTAAAGCAGAAGCCCTGTTGAAAGAGTAACTGAACTCACACTGTGAGTACCGCAAGACATACAAGTGGCATTTAGGTTTGTGCATTCAAAGCAAACATAATAAAGGGTACACAGAGAAGGGAAAGTTTAGCATGACCTCTGCTCAGCCCAGGCATTGGTGGGTGGGGAAGCGAGACAAGGATGTATGTGCAAGAAAAGAGCCCAAGGCAGGCGCTGGGAAGTGAGTTTAGTAAAAGGGAGCGGATGGGTTTTCTTGGCAAATAAGATAAACACAGAGAAATGGAATGAAGGAGGGATGGTAATAAGTGAAGAATGCCAAGCCCCTTGGAGCTAAGCTGAGGTCACCCTTGTTTCATCCATGCAGGTGTAAGGGAGGGTCCTGCATCTGAGCTCTGGTGAGACGAATCTGCCAGGTGCCAGCATCGTGGCCCCGCCGGTGACAGGGTCATCCCCTATAAACGTGGTTCCGACTGCTCCACCCCAGTCCGTCTCCCTACTAAAGCACTTGGGAGGGCACCCCAGGGCAGCCCTCGTGCTTGGGTCCCTACTGTCCATGTAGCAGACAGGAACAGAATTCCAGGCTCCTTGGATTCAACTTTAGTGAACTGATTGGTCAAAGATCCCTTTCTCTCTCAGCCTTTCGAATAAATCAATCAATCTTGGGGGGAATGTATGCAATGTGGCTTCACGGACAGGAGGAAACTAGACTTGCTTACAGACCAGACAGACAAGGAAGAAGGAAATAAGGGCATGGGAGTAGAGACAATATTAACTTCCCCATGTCATTTGATTTTTTTTCCCAACAAAGCAACTAATATTGATCCAAGAAAATATTATGGAGTCTGAAATTTTTACATGAAGAAACCAGTTTTCCAATGCCAGCTGACTAAACCGGAGACCTGGGTAGTTGATTTCCAACCTACCACTCTGCTGTCAGCCTGGGTCATCTTCTGTGGACAGGACACCAGGCATTGCAAAGATACAAATCAGTGATAAAACAATAATAACCACCCTGTCGTTGCGATCACCTAGCAAGCACCTACTGTGCAACCAGCGCCAGGCCACGCACTTGGAATGTGCTAGCTGACAGGCAAAGGAACCCATGGACAGAAAGCCAAAGTGACAAGCACAGAGAAGCCACGAGGTCATCGTGGGCAATGAGGGATTAATGGCGTTTTGCCATTAATTAATCTTAATCTAATCAGAGTAAAAAAACTGGACACATAACTTCTTTTCCTTCTCTTAAAGATCCACTGCTTTCTTGGGCGTAATGATAAGGATTTTGGCCAAGTGCCTTCCATCTGTCTGTAGCCATCTCATGTCTAGAAGCCCATGTGCTTGACCCGGGGAAGGAAAGGGGCGTCCGTGGACAGCAGTCCTGTTACCTGGATCTCTTCAATCACTGCTTTGAACTGAGGAACACGTTCTGTCATGTTCTTAACCAATTCCATCGCGTTGTCAAATCCCTTCACGTATTCTCCGTACATCTTGAGGAACGGCGCCAGCTTCTGAAGGATGTCCCCAATGCGGGGGGTCGTTTCCCTGCAGGGAGTGTGCAAACAGGTCATCCAGGCGTCGTGCGCGTGAGCAGGCTGACAGGACTGCACATGGAGTCATCTCCCACGCACAGCCTCCCGCCTCTTCGGTTCCTGTCTGCGGGGAGACTGGAACGGGGCAGCAGCAAAGCGAGATGCTGCAGCGGGTTGGGCAGCTCCCTGTCACGCGCTATCCACTTGTCAAAGATGGCTCGGAGAGCAGAGAGGACAAGCTTCCCCACCTCCGCTGGCACTGTACCCGGCTTCTCCCCATGATCTTGAATGTGAAAACGGACCCCAACTGTCTACCTAGAGCCGTCATGACGTTTCTTTCAATTTTAAAAGCTGACACAGCCCCTGTGTGGCTGCCTGGGATAACGTTTCTGTCTACTTCTCTTACCATTCTTGCATCCGTTTCTCCAGCTCTGGTAATAGGAATTTACTATGGAAGGCATTTATTGATGAAATATTGGAAAAGATTTTATTCACCATCTCTGCTGGAAACGAGCCTTGGTTTGCTTCTTCTAAGAGCTTGCAGTAGAATACCTGCAACAGGAACACAGCAGACATGACTTACAAGTGATGGCTTGCCCGACCAGCACGGATTAGGCACATGGTGGGCTCATAGTAACTTCTGGCAAAAAAATCATGGCCGAAGAAGATGATCTTCTAAGATGCAGGAGTGCGCCTCAGTTTAGATACACGGAAGAAGCGTTCCCGCATGGTTCTAACCTAGAGTGTGCCCCTCTGCGGGGGCGCTTAGGGCAGGCATCTTAGCTGTTCTGTGCCAGGGAATTTCCAGTTGAGGTAAAAAGGATTTATACTTCCTGTCTACAGCTTGAATTAAGAGATGTTAGAACACACTATGTGTACTTTAGGCTTTTTTAAAAAAAGATCTTTACATTGTGAATGACTTTTATGACATTCATTACTGCCCTTTCCTAGCTTGCTGGTGTGAATCTTGGCTTCCCTGTTATTCCCTGGTGTTCCTTGCGAAGGAGACAATGCCAGGATCTATTTCTGAGTAACAGCCACTTGATATGTAACCGATGAACGAGCAGAAGTCCATTTCAGTTCCGAGATGCTTATCAGGAAATTCTCATGAAAGACAACTTGAAACAGCGCTGCAGGCAGAGGGATCCCCTCCCCACACACCACCAGGCACTTGGAAGACCATGCAGAATAGCAATAAGCACCTTGTGCAGTCTGAGCCCCCTCACTCAGGCCGCCCCCCTAAAGGCTAGCCAAAGGAGTCCACTTCCTTCTGCACGGCCAGATGGCTGTTCATTTCCTAAACTCACCCCCACCGCATTTTCTTAAGCAGCAAAAAGAACACAAAATTAGGTCCTTGGAGGCTGTGTATAGCAATTAAGTCTCTAAAAATTCCAACAGGTCAGCAGGGGTGGCCAATATGTTAGTCTGGCTTAAAAAGCAAACGCAAAACGCAATGTACTGAGAGGGAGAATATGCCCTGGGACCACTGAGAAAGGTGGGCAGTCAACGGCGTACGCTGCAAGTCTTCCGACAAGCACACACGTCCTACAAAAGCTCCCCAAGTCTCCTGCTGGCCCACCGGGCTCTGGCTTTTGGAGCCACGTTGCCCACGCCTGCCTGCTTCCACGGAATTCAGCTCCTTAAGGCAGCTCGTGAGGCTGACACCCAAGCATGGCAGCCTGTTCCTCCGCCAGGAGCGCTCTGCATTTGCAGGCAACTTTTGCTCCTTATTGCTGAAACAGGATCTGGATGCCTCAGTGTCCAACAGCTGTTTCCACAATGCTGCGAACGTTTTGCAGTGGTCAAAAACCCTTGCTTCCGTGAAGCAGATTTGAAAGGATGCTCAAGGTGACACCATTAAGTACAAGATGTACAGAGCAGACTCAAATACTAGAGTGCTGAAAGTTCATGGAAAAAATGGATCAGAAGAAACACAAGCTGTTTTGTGCAAAAACACTTTGAAATCCATGAATTGTTTTTCATAATATGCTGTTTATATAATTTTTTGAAGACCATTTATATGCACAAGTTTCAAAATATATGTGCCTGTTTTTTGCTTTGTTTTGGTTTTTGTTTGAGATAGAGGCAGAGAAAGCTCCCATCTGCCCAGTCACATGCCCAGTGCCCTCAGTGGCTGGGCTGGAGTCAGGAGGTGGCCCCTCAATCCTGGTCTCCCGCATGGAGGCAGGGCCCCGCTACGAGAGCCGTCCCCTGGTGCTCTGCAAGGGGAGCACTGGCAGGGAGCTGGAGCCAGGAGCTGGAGCCGGAGCTGGAGCCGGGCTCCAGCCCAGGCAATCCCAACTGGGACACAAGTGCCTTAGCCAGCACTTGACCAGCTATGTTAATCTTGTCATAAACTTGTCTTTTCCATTTTCCACAAATGTTGTGAAGTTTTCCTGTCTGAATTCATCAACTATTGAATGAAAAAGTTGACAGTAGGCACTCTGTTACATTCTTTACTCAAGGCTGAGCGTGCAGAATCGCTTCTGGGTCCAGTGACTGCAGCCCCAGCACCCACCCAGCGCTCCACAGCCGACGTGACAGCGCTAGGCGAGGGCCGTCCTCAGGGCACCCAGACAATGGCACTTCGTGCCAGAGAAATCTCTATTGTCGTGATGAACAAAATATGAACAGCCGGAGGGAATTCACTGAGAAAGCTGACCTTGAACCAAGCAGTTTCTCAAGCGATGCCCAAGCATAAAACAGTTCTGAGAGGGAAACGTTACCTGATCCAAGAGTTCAAGCCGGCTGACGTAAGCTCTCTCTGTGAGCAACAGCTCATTAGCTATTTTGTGCAGTTTCTCTTCATTTGTCTCCTAAAAATAGAACAGATATCCCCACATTAGAAAGATGGCGCACCTGCTGTTCTGGGGCGTGGGAGACCCCTCCCCTAACATTTTGAGGCAAACACTTCTGGAGCTTTCTGCCACCCCAACTCCTTACAAAGGGGCCACCGACCAGAAGTGGAGGAAACTGGAAACAGGAAGCTGTGCACGTGAGCCCCGTGCCCTGGGGAAGCTTTCCTGTGCTCCAAGCACACCAGCTCGCTTCCTGCAACTTCTGTTCTTTTTCAGATCCCAGAGCTAAGGCTGTGCAGTTGCCTCTTCCAAGCCACCCTTCGGAAATTTCTGTCACCCTCTCAAACACCTCGTGTAATTATTCATTCTACGCATATACCTTTTTGCCTTTAGAAACACATTTTATCCTGGAAGATTCTAACCAGCACAGGAAACAGTAAGATGAGTCCCGTGTTTCCATCATTCAGATCAACTCATCATTCATCCAGCATCCTCACTGCTCACTGCCTGGACTACTTGGAATTAAATCCTGCCTTATTATCTCCATAGTATACCTTTATTCAGACATCCAACACGTGTGCACCTGGCCAGTTCTGTGATGACAGGGTCATCTTTTTTCTTGCTGGCTGCTCTACCTCCTGTGTCAACTGCAACCTGTCAGTAAAACCCTGGCATTTAACACACGTGTACTGACTCAAGGAAGGAACAGCGGCCACCATGCTCCACTATAGCTGTCTGCGTTACTCCTCGGACATGCCAAAAGCCTGAGACAAAACGCCTATTTTCTTTTTTTAAAAAGATTTATTTTTATTATTTTTTCATTGGAAAGGTGGATATACAGAGAGGAGAGACAGAGAGGAAGATCTTCCGTCCGATGATTCACTCCCCAAGTGAGCGCAATGGTCGATGCTATGCCGATCCGAAGCTAGAAGCTTCTTCCTGGTCTCCCACGCGGGTGCAGGGTCCCAAGGCTTTGGGCCATCCTTGACTACTTTCCCGGGCCACAAGCAGGGAGCTGGATGGGAAGTGGAGCAGCCAGGACACAAACTGGTGTCCATATGGGATCCCGGGCGTGCAAGGCGAGGACCTTAACCACTTGCGCCACCATGCCGGGCCCAAAACACCTATTTTCTATAAAACCTCCACAGGCTTTTCTTGAAGCGCCCTCCTCCGACATCCAGCCAGCCCTGCTGGTGAGGTGACACCATCACCATGTGTCCCAAGGCTGTCATCAGTGCCTGTCTCATCTCAGACTCTGGAGGCCTATCACCAACTCCTGGGTGACCCAGTTCCAGGCTGTCTGGCCCGGTGCTGCAAGGGGCCTCTCTCTGACCCATCTACGGCTGCCCAGGGCTGCTCAGCCTTCACCGACATCTGCTTTCATTCTCATTCCGTCTTACCGGCACCTCAGACACCTGGTCTACAGCGGGCGAGGCCACTGTGCGAACGAGTCTAAACCTCGCCTCTCGCCGAGTCTCTCCAACCCTCTAACACTGGAGTTCCTTTACTCCATGTCCGCCCCTCCTTGTCCACGGAGCCATCTCCAACCACTGTGAGCCTCTGAGCTTGTCTGCTGGGAACACATGTCATGTCTTACGCGTAAGATTTTACATTGAGAAATTTTACCCTTTCAGTGTAGATGCTGTGGCATAACACAGGCTTAGGAAAAACTGCTCGCAAAGTAGGTGCAAGCCACTTCCCAGCCAGCGTTCAATCTGTGCATCAAGTCTACATTACACCTTGTGCATAACGTGCCGTGACATTCTGGGAATGAGATCCATTTTATGCTTTGCAGGCGACACTCCCTCTCATGGGGGAGGTTACGGCGCTTTCTCCTACAGCACTGGAATGAGACATTCTTCTTGGTAAAGTCTTTAGGTAAAGCAAGATAATGATGTTTAAATGATTTATGCCCTCAGAAACACTGAAACAAAAACAATACAGTCATCAAGTTTCCCCATCTGTCGAGGCTTTGGTTTAACCTAATACATACCAGTAAAGTTGGCTCTGACGCTTGCCTGGCAAGCATGCTTGACCCTCTCCCACATTCCCTTCCCCCATTTCCCCCTGTTAAGGGTTTCCTTTGGGTTAGTGTTGCGGCATAGCAGAGAGTTACCCCACTTCCCACATGGGCGCTGGTTCCCGTTGCGGCAGCTCCACTTCCAATGCCGCTCCCTGTTGATGCCCCTGGGAAGGCCACAGAAGGTGGCTCAAGTGCTTGGGCCCTTCCCTCACGGTGAGAGACCCAGAAGAAGCTGCAGGCTCCTGGCTTTGGCCTGGCACCGCTCTGCTCATTGTGGCCACTTAGGGAGTGAACTAGCAGACAGGAGATTTGTCACTTCGCCTTACAAATAAATTTTAAAAAGAGTAAATCTTTTTTAAAGATCTTATTTCATTTGAAAGGCAGAATGACAGAGAGGAGGTGAGACAAAGAGCTCTTTCGTTTGCTAGTTCACTGCCTAAATAGCAACAGCTGGGCAGAAGCCAGGAGCCTAGACCTGCATTTGGCTCTCCCAAGGTGACGGTGGCATGAGCCCCCGGCCATCTTCTGCTGCTTCCCCCAGAACACCAGCTGAGAGCTGGACTGGAAGTGGCTCAGCTGGAAGTTGTACTAGAGTTCCTATGAGACGCAGCAGCTTAACCCACCACACCGTAAGCCTGGCCCTTCCCCTGTTTGAGAGGTATCCAGATTTGGGAAGGGACCCTCATGCTGCAGAGTCATTCCCGTTCAGGAAAGGGACAGGATTCCCTCATTAGACAGGGCTCCTGAAGGGAATCTGCAGGGAGCCAGTGAGACACACGCTGAGGCCTTTGGGAGCAGAACGGAACTCAGTGGCCCTGCTTCCCATCCAGCTCCCTGCCCGTGGCCTGGGAAGTCAGTCAAGGATCTAGTTGCTAAAGTCCTTGCCTTGCAAATGCCAGGATCCCATATGGGCGCTGATTCTAATCCCAGCTGCCCCACTTCCCATCCAGCTCCCTGCCCGTGGCCTGGGAAGTCAGCTGAGGACGGCCCAAAGCCTTGGGACCCTGCCTCGCATGGCAGACCCGAAGAGGCTCAAGGCTCCTGGCTTTGGATCAGCTCAGCTCCGGCTGTTGTGCCTGCTTGGGGAGTGAATCATCAGATGGAAGATCTTCCTCTCGGTCTCCTCCTCCTCTCTGTATATCTGACTTTCCAATAATAAATAATTAATAAATCTTTAAAAAAAATGAAAATGAGTACAATGAAATAACTATGCACAGATCAATGACTTGCTGCACGCAATCAACTCAGTCACCCCACCCCGAAGTCCCCACTTTCAGCAACCAGAGAATGCTCGAGATACATCCCTCCCTGTACCAGCACCCGTAGTGCTACGCTTTCCTTTTGTCCTAGTAATGGCGATGTATTTATTTACTTAATCATACTCTTAAAAGGAAGAAAAACAGGGAGATGGAGGGACTGGGGGCGGGGGAAGGGAGGGAGAAGAGGACATCAGAGGGAGAAACGTATCTTCCATTCACTGACTCCTTCCCAAAACGTTCACAACAAGACTGGGTCAGTGGACAGCATGGATCTCAGAACTCAATCTGGGATTTCTACATGGCCAGCAGACCCAATCATGGGAGCCATCACTTCTGCCTCCAGGGAGTGCGTGCAGCAGCAGGGACCTGCAGCCAGGAGCCCATAGTAAGTAAGTAAGGCCCCTTAGTGGTGGCCTTACTTCATCCTGGAGGCCGCACTTGTTTCATCAAGAAGGATGAGTTTAGAACCAGGATGCTGCTACACTCCGTCCGCCAACGCCCCCTTGAGCCAGTAGTCAGCAAAGTGGCCCTCACTTGCTGACTAGTCATGACTTCATTCCTCTCTTCACTGTCCACTCAACACTGTTATCTCCAGAATCCCCCCTGCCCTGCTGACGGGAAAACTCAATCCCTTAAACTAGCCAATGAAAGAGCAACACGCCCTTTGGGGCACCACTCAGTGCAAGCTGCCCCCACAGCTCTTCCCAGGAACCCCCGAGTACCCCAACAGGAGGTACATTTCAGTGAATCTTCTACTTCCCTCACTCCCATTATGCACCTGGAGAACAGACAAGGTCCTCCTGTTGTTACAAATCCCCATCTCCACTTTCCTCAAGCATCCCATGGTCCTCCAGGATACACCGGTCACATGCACAGGCCAGGAACCATATTGGGTACTGGGCCGGGCAGTCCCCACGCTTGGTTCTCAGTGTCTTCATCCCTCTGCGACTCCCAGAACCATCCCTACTTCATTTCTGCTTCCAACAGGGACTCTCACCTCAACCTTGGCCTCCTCATGCAGTTCTCCATGCCTTCTTATGTTCTCAGTAGTGGTTGTGTATGGAGCCAGACCCTTGGCCTCAAGGACGTCTTTTGGCAGTCACTTCGGTGCCTTGGCCATGGTACGTGAGCAGTGTCTGGCAACTCAGTTGAATTCAGTTGCACAGGTGCACTGAGCTAGCTCAAGTTCATGGAAGGCCTGGGTCTCTCCTAGTTCTGTATTCTAAATGGCTCCCATGCTTTGTTCTCTCCAGCGTCACCAACTAGCCTGAGCTTCCCACCCCCTCCAGGCCCCGTTTCCAAACACTGTGCTCTTTTTCCTCCTGGCCAGCCCATGATGTTCCCGTTCCGTGATGTGTGTTCTCGCACTCCAGCCCACTCCCTGCTCCTACACAGCATCCTTTGGCAGCAGCAACCCTGCCCATCTGCACCACCTCCTACATCCTCCTCCCTGGCTCCAGAGCCATAATTACCATCATCAAAGGGATGCCGCTCCCGTGCCAGGAACGCAAGCTCATTAGCAACCTCACATCCACAGGCTCCTGACTCTCTTTCCCATCATGAATGGCCAAATGGTGTCACAGTGACATGTCCCAGGCCATCAGGCTGGCAGCCCACAAGGCCGTGAGCTGGACTCAAGCTTTCACGCCTAACCCACAAGACACAATGCCTCCAGAAGATTCCATTTTAGTAGTTGATGCCTTCGTCTAGTCCCCCCATAAGCTCTTTAAATTCAG